TTGCCCTGTAAGAATTGCCCCTGTCTCTAATTCCCCTATGAATTGTCCTGTCTCTACGAAGTGTGTGATGAGATCGTATCTTGGCTGCAGGTGCGTAGCATGTTGCAGCCCAGCGTCAAGCTCGGGCCCGTCCGCCCGCCTGCAGGGAACGATCAACCCCGGCGCTCCTTCTCCCACCAGCCGCTGCCCCTCCGTCCTCACCAGCAACAACAGTTCCAACAGCAGCAGCAGCATATGCAGCAACAACCTCAGTACAGCAATATTCGCAATGGTCAGCGAGCACAATCATGTTGACATAATAGATTGAATATACTCAAGTTGACATGACGTTCTAAAATCTTGTAGCCTTTAGTGATCCTTGGTTGTAAAAAGGATCACTAAAATTACTACATGGACTAGGAACCTAAGCCAGGAATTTGGCGCCGATTGTTAGCTTTTATCAAATAAGAAGTGAACTCTTTTCAGTTATTGCTGATCTTTATTTTTTAATCGATGTTTTGTGTCAGTTTTCGTAAGCATACATTGAATTAGTTTACTGCGGTAGAAATCCTCACCTTAACTAAGTAAAATTCGCAGGCAATGCACCGGCTCACTTGGTGGCAGGCGCTCGTAGAGGTCCTGGGCTGCCGCCTTCTGGCCCTCCGCCTCAGATCCCTACTATGCAGCCTCAGCAGTTGCAACAACAACAAATCTTACAGCAACAACTACAGCAAAGATCGCCTGATGAACTACGTCACCAAGCTATACATCAACTGCAGGAGGTGAGCTTCTGTCTTACTTTACCTCGCAAAGGCCTGATTGATTGATTCACAAATCGTCGATTTTGAAGAATTGGATTATTGATTCAGATGCTGATGACAAGAAGGATTTTGTAATCGCCGAATCAGATTTGTAACTGGTCCGGTCAGTGAGACGGGTCGCGATTGTCAAATCCTGCGTCGGTAACTTTCGCGTGCTATTTTCTTTTCGTCGATATGCTCTTATCCGCTGAAGCAGTCATCTATTCAACTTGAAATCGGTGCGAGATATAAATAGAACGTCTTTTGTATCGCATTTTTGCATATTTGCTAACTTATCTTCATTTAAAATGAATGAATGAAATTTCGCAATTCCATTCATTTGTTGCCACCTTGTGCAGCTGCACTGATAGTTTCTTCGATCATTTTCGTGGTATCTTGTGGAAACTTGCTCAAAAAGGCAAGGGAATATTCCGAGAACCTTCATGACATTCTCGCGTAAAAATTTTTATTCAAATTTCACTTCCTATTTGCCAGTTCTTATTTCTCGACGTTAGGTTCGTAACAGTGCAGAGAGTGTATAAATTTCATGTATGATGTGTATTGGATGGACAAGTATTTGTATTTTTGATGATAGTGACCGCATCATTTGTTACAGCAGGAGAGCGGTGGTGGTGGTGACACGTCACCTCGTCACTCAATAGCAGAGCTGGGCAGCGCTACTTTGAAATGTAGCGCCGCTACCGCTACCGCTACATGCTCTAAATGTAGCGGGCGCTACCGCTACCGCTACACCCAGTAGATTGTAACGGACGCTACCGCTACCGCTACAGTAAAATGTAGCGCCGCTACATTAGCCGCT